GGACAGTTCCGCTACCGAGTATTGCCTTTTGGTCTCACCGGCGGTCCTGCCACATTTCAAAGATACATCAACGCTGTCCTTAGCGATCTAATAGCCAAATTCGCAGCCGCCTACATGGATGATGTGATGGTTCACTCTAGAGATCCCTCGAAGCACACGGCTGAAGTGCGGGAAGTACTGCAACGCTTGGACAAAGCGGGACTACAAGTGGATATCAAGAAATGTCGTTTTGCTCAAGAATCTGTCAACTTCCTAGGTTTCATTGTCAACACAACTGGTATTCTCCCCGATCTAAATAAGTTGGAAAGCATACGTTCTTGGGAACGACCCAGTAGTAAAACAGGTGTGCAGTCTTTCCTTGGATTCTGCAACTACTATCGGAACTTTATCGAAAATTTTTTGCGCATTGCCAAGCCCTTGTACAATCTCACAGCTACCCAGAAAGGACAACTGTTCCAATGGTCGGAGCAAGCAGAAGAGGCCTTTCTCTCTCTAAAAGAAAAGCTCGTGAGTCCACCAATCCTTTTGTAATTCGAGCAGAGGAGACCGACGCGTTTGGAAACAGATTGCTCAGACTTGGCAACAGGTGGAGTGCTCAGCCAATTGCACAACAATGGTGCGTGGCATCCAATTGTATTTCATTCGAAGACACTGAGCGACCCAGAAAGACATTACGAGATACACGACAAGGAACTTCTGGCTATTATTCAATGTTTGAAGGAATGGCATGCGGAACTCACCAGCCATGTGGATCAGTTTTTAATACTGACGGACCATCGAGTTCTCGAGTACTTTGGTCAGAAGCAGCTTCTCAATGATAGACAGGTCCGCTGGACAGAAATGTTGTCACAATTCCACTTCACATTGCAATACTGGCCTGGAAAAGAAAATGTTTTGGCTGACGCATTGTCTCGGAAAAAAGAACTCACTCCCACGCAGAAAGCCGCTAAGGATCGAGAGCGCACCAGAATTGTATTCCCACCGGAAAACACAGTCCCAAGCCGCAGCAAAAATATGTTGGCTCCCATCAATGTAGAAATGGATGTGCTCAACGAAATATTTTCGGCAAACAGGGAAGATCTCGAACTCGAGGACTTGCGCCATCAAGCTAGAGAAAATGAAATGCCTTATACTTTGGAACCGAATGGCTTGCTTCTACACAAAGGACAATTGGTGGTCCCAATGAAGAGCAACCTCCGTGCCCAATTGTTACGTATGATCCACGAATCTACATCAACAGCTCACGCAGGAAGAAATAAGATGAGGAAGTTCGTTGGTGCACGATACTGGTGGCCCAAATGTAGTGGAGACGTCGAGAGATACGTGCAGAATTGCCACGTATGCAGGCGATTGCACAATCCTCGAGATAAGACGCCAGGATTGCTGCAACCGTTGCCAATACCCGAACGTACATGGGATGATATCTCCATGGATTTCCACGAAGTAGGAGTATCTGACAAGAGAGGATTCAATAACATATGGGTAGCAGTAGACCGGTTGTCGAAACGACCAATATCCATACCTACAACCAAGAACGTGACCGCAAAAACTGCTGCTGACTTGTTTTACTGATACGTATGGCGTTTCCGAGGCTGCCCCAAGACAATTACCAGCGATCGAGGTCCGCAATTCATATCAGATTTCATGGACGAGCTATCAAAGTTGGCGCGGGTGAAACTCAAATTATCCACTGTTGAACATCCTCAAACAGACGGGCAAACAGAAATCATTAACCAAATCATGGACCAACGACTGCGGCCATTTGTTAGTTTCCACCAAGATGATTGGGCCTAATTGCTACCCGCTTTAGACGCCGCAGCAGCAGCCATGCCCAACGAATCCACAGGATTATTGCCATCGATGATTGACTACGGCTACAAACCACGTCTAGAGTTTGATTGGAACCAACGGGTCAAACCACGGACTGCGCGAGAATCATTGAACCGCAACGAGGCAGCAGCCTGGGTCAAGCGAGTGGAAAATGCGGTCAAGTGGGCCCGGGAAAACATGGCACGCGCGCAAGAGCGCCAGCGAACTCAGGCAAATAAGCATTGACGGGAGGTATATTTCAACGTGGGAGATAAGGTTTACATCCGTCGAGGCGCATGGAGAACCACAAGACCTTCAGACAAATTGGATAACCCAATGGTAGGACCTTCCCAATAATTTCCAAGGAGGGACATTCTTTCCGAGTCCAATTGACAGCATCCTGGAAAATTCATCCGGTGTTCTTGCCAGACCGCTTGCGCAAAGACCCCGACAACCCATTGCCCGGACAAGCCAATCCAGAACCACCCGCTGAAGAAATTAATGGCGAGTTAGAATGGGAAATCAAATGCATACTTGACGCTCGCTTATATTGCCGCCGTCTACAGTACAAGGTTCAGTGGAGAGGATGGGACACCGATGAAGAGTTGTAGCCTGCAGCAAATTTCCTTAATGCACCTGCAATGCTCGAATAATTTCATATGGATCACCCTGCATTGCCAGGCCCACCTAAGCGTCTACCTATCTGGCTGGATGATGCGGCTCATGATCGTTTCAGTGAAGAACATCCCGAGGACAACATGACAACTCACAAAGGAGAAGACAGCCGGCGTCGACGCCGGCACTAGTCGATTTGGAGCAATCAAGGACTGGAGGGGGGTGATGTAACGGCACGGCATTCTGCCATGTCATTACATATATCAGGTGACCAAGAAGGTATGCTGGGTGAGGAACCAATATGTAGGAGGAGATAAAATAAGGTCACGCAACCCTGGGAAGCCAGAGCACACACACAAAAGCTCGCAGATTCTATTATCATTAGACTTTCTTTCTTTCTTCTTTTTCTTAGTATTTGCTCAATAGATTGAATATATAGTTATACAAGCTGTACTCTCACTTGTGCTTATTCTACGCCGTGCCTTGGAATACTAAGCAAGACACGTGATACAATTACAAATTTAATGATACCTTTAAACAAGAATGACTGAGGTAATCTGTTGTGCTGGTGATGGCTAGGATTAAGATGCACAAGGGTAATGATCACTGAGAGTGAAGGAAGAACTTTCCAGCTGGCTCCATAATTAGTATAGGAACAATAGAGCATTGTATAGGAAGTGTTTCTAGATTGTACTACCACATGGAGGAGACTCTAATAGCCTGTGATGCTGTTTTGGGTAAATAAGGCGAGAGTCTAGCTACCTCAGATGTGTATATAATTAGCGCTTTCTACCTCCCAAATCCTCATAGTTCTGAATACCAAATATATCAGCAGTTCACATTGATTCATCAATAATCATCCGTAAACCTTCTGTCAATTAACCCCCGTAAGCTCTTACCTTTACAGCATAATCAAATCCCATGTGTTACAGGCTGTGACGGCTTGTGAGCCGATAAGTCCTGTAGCCTTCGATGGCTATTGAAGGCAACCTATATTCTCTATCACCCCGAGGATTATCAGCAGACGAAAACTGATACGAGATTGCCACTGAGGCTACGTAAAGGATAGTGCCAAGAGTATCGGAAGCGTTACCCGTGTGGCAGAACAAACCTTTAGTCAGTCTCATTGCCACTGTAAGTGTAGGCTAGATTTAGATACCTCTGAATGTGTATAAGTAGTAGAGTAGTGTTATGATCCATGTACATGCATTTGCTCTGCACATTCATGCATGGACTTTTCTACCAATCGACAATGTCGCTATTCTTGTGCGATGGTTAGACATCGGTGGTTGGTCATGAGATTGTATCAAGCCAATGAGGAAGGCTGATCTCTAGGAGTTGTGATCAGGCACGGGATTGATTGTGCACGGATAGTGGCGGTCCTCGGTAAAGTCCAACATGTAGATAGATAAGTAGTCGAGTACCGCCCACAGTGACATACACACACATTTCACTTCTCTTCATATATTCATACTCGAGAACATAAAATCCATTCTTGAGTCATCTCTCATAGATTACCTGTGACATCAACTATTGTACTGTCTCTAAGTCCACTCTCAACCACTGTCCAGTGCTCATACATCATAATAAGTAGACTCGCAGATAGTTTGCTTCTACATAGATGAATTATAGCTTTACCTTTCAATCATACAAATGCCCATTAGCTTTCTATATTTGAACCGTGACACAGGCTATAGCCATGTTAGTCTGGAACCGGAGTTTATCCGGTCCCTTGTCAAGCGCTAACACATTTGTGGTCAAGCTTTGTTTTTGCTTATGTGAAGGGACGCCTTACCTGACGCTTAGTTTTATATTCATTAACACCCTTTCGGCCTATTCATTTTATCTCATTTAATATGATATAAATTCTGTTTTGGGCACACATCAGCTAGAAGCTCATGTTCCGTCCTTTCACATTATGTGTAGGTTTCACAGGGTACAGTAAACAGTACCAAGTATTCAGGTAAGTGTGTACATCTAACTATTATCTTTTAGGAGATACTACAAGGCTGACAAAGTAGCCTCGCTTACTAAGGTCGCACTGATACCCTCCCATGTTCCCCTTACCGAGATAGTTTATTTGTTACCACACTGTGGCATCTGTGCACAATATTCTAATGCAAACAGCTGACTGTAATTCAGTCATGTTACCTCTTTGCAGAAAATCAGAGGACCAACTACCAAGCCCAAATAAATCACAACATTAACTTTGACCTCAAGCACTGTTAGAACTACATCCTGCTATATCATCTGATTGGGTTGGAAATCTTCGAATAAAACAATTCCAAAATATGTATCTGTAAATAGGAAAGAAAGAAATTGATATTTTGAAATTTTTTGTTGAAAAAGTGGCTAAATTCAAATACATCCCATATCTACAACTAAACTTATTGCAAATAGATATTAATTTTAAGTTAAAGCTCCAATTCATTTGTAGACTCTCATGGCCGAAGTATTTCTCACCCAGAGAAATTCAAATAGCTGACAGCTGTATCTTTAGAGCTTTCCTTCTGGCCGGTATCAAGTGATATCATGCATTCTTCTGCCAGTATCATTGGGCGTAGTATTTGGAATCATTATCCCTGTCTAGAGTAGTAGCATTCCTCGATGAATTCTTGGTAATTTACGAGGCGATATTGGTATAACATAACCATTTGCTTCTCTTCATTAAAGACAGCATAAGTTGTTTCTAGAACGTTTTTAGTGCCTATTTAAATGCATATATATACATGTATATATAAGGGTTAAAAAGCAAACTTCCAAAGATACATACCTATCCTTCGATTAGAATACACATTCAATACCTTATATCTATCACTGCGTGGTAAATTCGTCTTTTGATAGACTTTTTCCTCTATTGTTGTAAACCGAATTTTATCAAATCTTTCCATATTGTCAGATGAATAAATCTGGCTATGAGAAATTTCGTCACCGCTTGGGCATTCATAAATATTATCCGAAAAAGCGCCATAAATATTCAAGAACAAAGACAGTATTGTCAAATTCGAAACAAATGATGAGTGATAAAATTTCATTTTGAAAATCTGACGTGCAAAGTAGTTCAGGCAGGTGTAGGTGAGTTTCGAAGAGAAGAGGCAGAAGCTCTTTAAGTACTATTGCAATGAGATGAGGCTTTCCGGGCTCTGTATTATTGTTGTTTTAAGCACCCAATTTAAATTACCTACTAAGTTTAATCTTGTTTCTAGAGCCCCATATTGGCATGGTAATTCCTGACAGTTGTTGTCAAGGTCTTAAATTTTGCTGTGGGTATGATCTAAATCTTTTCATCATTCACCAATCTTGACGTAATTGATTCCTCATTGCTCGGACATAATTATTCTGACCATATCAAACGTAGAGATAAAATGAGACTATTCTTGGCTACAAGACCAGGTGAGCTTTACTCGCAAAATAGTCAAACTGGAACCAATAATTCAGTCAGGATATCTTCCCCGTTATAAAATGGCTATCTGTTAATCTTGTTTGGTTTACCATTACTTGGCAGCATCAAAAGCCCTGTTTTTGCTAAAAAGCTACGCAGCGCTCCTCGCAATTTCTCCAATTAATCTGACTTCGAGAACCGCATTTTTACCTCGCCTTATCTAGATCAATTCCTTGTCCGCAATTTCTAACCTAGCTGCATTATGATGCAGGCTATTGCTCTAGCTGTTTGTGGGGTCACATTTTAATGGAACTGAATCGAGTTAATAAGTGTATGAGGCTAATCTCTACTCCCAAGAGGCTTGGCATGGGTGCGTGATTCTGAAGGACTAATCATTACCTCCAAAGCTGAATTTATTCGACTAGAAATTTAGATGATTGCAACCCTGAAATATTGAGGGAAATTTATGCTGCCCTGAATCAACATTCTACACTTAAGAAGCTTTATTGTAACTTGTTGCCTACAATAATTTTCCCCAGAAAAACTATAGTTTTTTTTTTAATTCATTTCATTGTCCTGTCTGAGTCTATGACTATGTAGGACATGCAGGTTCTCTCTACCTACAGGCCAAGGATACCTATACCAGTAGTATATCCCCTCTTATGCCTCCCATACAACTCCCCTCAAACAGTACCACCCCTCACAAGTCCTCATTCGATCATACACTTAGAGGAACCCTTAGCCCTTCATTATCTCCCCTCTCCAGCCAACGAAACGATCGCCAATTGCGGGTGTATGGCAGCCGGGAAAAATCGCAAAAACCACTGGGTGCGGAGCTCTCCTAATACCGACATTAGGACTAAATCCGAAGACATAGTGACCCTCCTGAAGCGTTCGAAGAGGCCGGCCAGCTGGGCGCTGCAGACTTGTGGGTACCTCGGAGAATTCATACTCTGCCTTTCTAGCCTCCTTCCAATTCCTTCCCGAAGATCGTGCTGAAATGTCAGAAAAGTCTTGACAGAGCGTGATTGCTGTACGGTAGCTTAGCCCAACTTCTTTTGTGACGTCCAGGGCGCTGGGGAGTGCCGTTGAGTCATCAACAATAGAGGCCCTCCTGGCTAATTAGCCGAAATCTTGGTCTTGGCGCCCACAAAAAATCCAAAGTTGAAAACTCCTCGAAAATATCGGTCCCAGCATGCTCTTCAGAGACCCCTTTCCCCTCTCGCTCCATATCTCAGCCGCCTGTTCCTCCTCAAGATGTATAACCCCATTAGAGCAACAGTCCCCCATAAGCCATGACCCAGGCTTTGTATTTTTCGACTTGATTTCCTCCTTGCGAGTATTAATAGCGTCGTAAATATGTAGTGAATGATGACTGGAGATTAATGGGGCAGGCTCCTGTATGCAATTGGAGCAACTTCTTTATTGGTCGTTGAGGCGAGATGATGCGTGGTTAGAGATGGGTTGAGGACTCAGATGATAATGATGAGAGAGGCATTGCCGAGAAGTTGTCAAATGGAGGTGTGTATGAGGTTGCTTTCGACTTCAATTCGGATGCAATTCTTCTTGGCTATCCCAGATATGCAGAGCATACTGAGCGATTACACCGGCACCACTGGAAGGTGAAGAATTCGTCTTTACCGGCAAAAACTATAGTTCCTTTAGTCTATATTTATTGACTAAGTTGTAGTTGTTGTGCATCAACAAAGTAGTTAGTGTATTGTTTACGTCCTTAGATTGTAAGACATTATCACTAGCATTCTAGCTAAGCGAGCATGAGCATTTGTGACAAGTAGCCTAGAAAGCATGTGATATCAAGTATAAATAGTTCTCTATCTAGCAACTTGTATATAATCTATACCACGCTTTTTGAAGGCCTTTGAACACTAGTCACATACACTGGATCCGCCAGGGAATCTCGCCAGAGCTCTCTGATAAAACTATTCCCCCACCATGGTCTACATCCTGCGAGACTTAACTAATCGAGATTTGGGCGGTAGGTAGACTCCTGGGATCAAACCCCCCTAACAGTGGCAGACTACATGTGACGGCTTGTAAGCCGATAACTGCCTGTAGCCTCCGCTGTCCAACGTAGGCTTAGCGTGACACTAGGCGGAGCCTATTCTCGGAAGTAGGGGTGCAAGGATTCTTGAGAAATGCCTTAGGCAGGATTTATGGGTCCCTTATTTAATCCCACTAGTCTTTATTGCTTAGCGAGGGCACCTATGTAGTTTCCATTTCCGAGACTGAGATCTTCATGCTTTGTTTTCTGTCTTTAGGAATAGTTATATTATTCTAATCACGTCTCACTCTCGTCCTCTGCCAACTATAGTGACCTACCGTCACCTCCGGCCCCTTTATCTAGAACGACTCCCCGCTTTCCCAATTACCACTTCTCTAGAAAGCCCTCCGCGTTCCCACGAGGCGTCCTTCCTCAGTACATTGTACGCTACGCCCTCTCCGACGTCTCGAGTCTTGCGCCTAGTGAACCTGCGCCTGACAAGGGGCTGACAAGTGGCAATATCAATATTGTACAACTTCCGAGAATGAGGCTTTGGGGTAAGATACGAGAACGGATGTATGGATATACAGATATACGGGTAAACGGGTAAATAGATAGAAAGCCTTGAGATAGACAGACGCAGGCATATATACGCCGCATGATGCACAATCGCCGACAGAAACTTGTGGAAGACTGGTGGAATAAGTCGGATCCGGACAAATATCGAGACCTGGACTTACAGATGCGACGTCGGAAACCACCAGAACTAGGTCTTTCTCGACGATTACTCCATAGGCCCCTAGCAGCAAGATCAGGACATGGAGACTTTTCGTATTACCACCGCCGCCTAAACCACGAAGATGCGAAACTGGAATGCGTCTGTGGACAAAGGACAACGCCAACTCATTTTGTCCGATGCAGGAAGAATGCTGCTATAATGCGCAGGTTGAGAAGATCCATGACCATGGAGGACTATACCAACCAACTCCTTGGACCAGAGGGTCCCAAGAAGTTCATAGAATTTGCAAGGAATACCGGCTGCTTTGGGAGCATAGATGCAGACCCGCCCTCAGCTGGATGCGAGGGCCGAAATGATTGCTTTGTCAAGACGAGAGAAATGACTGAGGGGGGCATAGGATGAGAAATACTAGCACCGCTCCTGCATGTTAATTTGCTTTATTTCAGTTGGTTTTGTTTGCCATTTCTTATAGTTTTTGGTTGTTTGTAAACAGAGTCACATAGTGACAGTGTGGTGGGAACGAGTAGGGCATAGCTATTTAGGATAATCCTTACCGAGCCCACCAGTCCCGTGCCACAAGGCGATGGGCTGGTGCCTGGGACCTCAAAATAAATCAATCAATCGATAGAAAGCCGTGTCATTGGCTGGGATAATAATCTTGTATAAAGTAGCTGTTATAATCCTCTTTGATCTATAGTTCACCATAGATTGAAAATAAACTACCTCTGACCATAAGGTTGCCTAAGTGCCTATGCTTAGACTGTGACACTAGAGGGGTGAGCCTAGATACTGAGCCAACTAACAGTACAGGAGCTGGGTCAAAGGATGGCGAGTATTGTGGGGATGAAATCCCAATGAGGGGGTCACTAGATGGAAGGACAGGATCGAGTGCAAGTTAATCTTTTTGTTCTTCCTGACTTATCAGCCACAATCTCTCTTTATCTGACCGAAAAAAGACCCCAATAGCACGAAATGGCCGGGTAGGCTGGAGTGGAGGTCTCAGGAGGACCAGCATAATTCAGGCAATCTAAAGGCATCATGTACAGGCTACTGTCATAGTCTACTACTATAGTCTACTATCATAATCTGATGCACAGAGACCTTATTGTGCTCGACATGTGCAATCATTGATGTTATGAAAGCCGTTACAGCGAGGGCAGATCTGGAGGCAAGGTCGGTTATTTATTAGCCGAATTCCGATGGACCACACAAAGAGGTTGATACTCGTCGAAGTTTTCCTTCCAAGTCCGGTGATTCCCGCAAGAGACACGTCCCGCAGATGGAAAATGTTGGCTCAGTGTCAATCCTAGCATTTTATAGTTCCTGCCGGATTTCTGCAACAAAAAGAGTCTCAGATGAGCCGGTGGAGTTTTATCCGTATTTTGGAACTTATTTATTTGTTCATAGCAGTTAACGTATTGTCCGCGCACAGCAAGTGGGTTCCTCACGTACCAGTTAGCCCAGTCTAAATAAAACTACCCTACGTGTTGGCAACTACACAGACCTAACAAAGCTGATAAGGCCAGGGTCTTCTCGTCTTGCGCTCGAAGATTAAATTACACATAAATATCCACCTCCTATCGAATCTCATAATCTATAGATAGAATTCAATGGGGAAATATTTTTTAAAATTAAGGAGGAAATTGATAACATCAACTCATGATTCCGTTCCAATCAGACGTCTGGTTGTGCCCTTTCGGAAAATTAGGTACAATGCACCAAGCTAATAAATGCATAAACTTCCTCCACTGAAACAAAAGCCCAGGATATGGTGAGATTAAAATTCTGTGCCCAATGAACTTGTGCCTAGTACTGCCCGAGGTTGCAATAGGAAAAGTGACCGGAGGACTTCTCTTATCCACATGAGCAGGCGAGTATAGCGTTTTCGTGTTGAAACCGTCTACAATAGTCT